TCATGCTGACGCTCCTGCAGATTTTCATGTTCTGTATACCTATTTCAGTCAGCATGATGTGGCACCTTTTTATGCACCTACGTAGATTTTCCCATATTCCCTGCAGATTTTCCCATATTACAAGTTTATAAACTCTTACTAGATCAGTCTCATTTGAAACTCCTGGGAATATAATTTTTCATCTCAAACGAATAATGTGGATGTTTTTAGTTGGAAATATTCTTTTATACCGAGTTTTACATTACCATTAGGCCAATTGTAGATCTTTGGGGATTCTATAGAGATTCAACATTTGTCTAAGTTGTTCCTGGTCTACTCATACTGATGGCTGGCAATGTCTGTGGCACTTTTATAGTTATGATTGCAATTTTCCCTGATCACTAACAGTACAAAATTTGTCTAGTTGGTCTAGAACTCATATGAGGGAAATACATATGGCTGATACTGATTGGACAAAGATTATCCCCCTATACAGCATATGGCACATTTATTTTTATGCCAGATTATCACAAGTGAGATTTTGCAGGACATACAAGTGTAAACTATTAAATAGGGGAGAAAGAAGGGAGAGAGAAAAATAAAGGGCCTGTATCTTGTAAAATATATAGAAGGTGTGATAGGGGTAGGCATGTATTTTTCTTTCTTTGAAAATTAAAGTTTTTGTTTTTATACTTATATTTTACCTATCAATAAATCATTGTACATTTTGGTTCCTAAACAGCAAGATTTTATTGGTAATAAAGTCTCCTGCATTTAACAGTATTATAACTAAAATATATTTAAATTTTGATATGATCTATTAGATCTTTAGAAAACTTTAATCTGTGTAATATACAATCTGTTGTTTGAATCAATGTTCAGGTTTCCACTGTTGCTATTGTTATCTTTGGAATCCTCCACGAAAACAACGCCCCAAAGCCCCCTCTCTACTACAACCTACAAGTACATCACAAAAAAGAGGGGCTAAGTCTGTAGATGGTGCATTATCAGATACATCAGGAAGTAGTGGTAAGTTTGTAGTTATGCACAAAGCTACACAATGAGCTATCTTGCTCTACCCACCACGGGTATCGAAACCCGGTTTCTAGCATTGTTAGTCCGCAGACATACCGCTGTGCCACTGGGGGGCATAGCGGTAAGATTTTATTTTAAGAACAAAAATTTTTGTCTAATGTACTGCTGTTTTTTAACAAAAACTTTTGAGATTGGATTGGAAAAGCTGTTCTTATTTATCCCTGTGACTTGCAGGGAGAGAGGAACATTGATAACAGATATTTCATCAGTCCACATAAACTAAATATATTTGTAACATTTGTATTTGTTGTATAGCTCTTGGTTTACATATAGTTATTTTTAAAACAGATACTACAGAAGTAGAAAGTTTAATGTAGTTTTAGATAAAAGGTTATTGCCTGATTTTCTCTATAACAGATGATACAAAAATTGATAGCTAAATGCAATTTCAAGTAAACTATCTTGGAGTTGTCTTTACAAACAGATGATACTGAAGTTGAAAGTTTGATAGATGACACAGAAGATACAGTTTTTGCTGAAGATGATGTTGAAATTAAGTTGTGGCCAGTGAAGGATGATGATTCAGGGAACTGGACGGAGTCTGGCAACGGAGGGCCTTGTGTTTCAGAATTAACGACTGATGCTGAATCAGCAAAATTTACCATTACTAAGAAAAGTGATTAAAAAATTTAATTTTCTGTAGTTTATATATTATCTCAAGAGCTAGTGATATAAAGTGCTCTAAAGTTTTAGGGATATTTGAGACAAACTTATTGTGTAATTCATAATCTTTAAGCATTTATGATGCAAAATGTTTTTTCTGAAACTTGTGTCTGAGCTTATTTATAAGAATGATTAAGTTTCTATATAAAACCATGTAGTTATGTGTGTTTTTTCTACATGACTCAAAGTAAAAATTAATAAAGTTAGTATTAATACTGAGAGTGTATTTACTTTTGAGTTTTACACTTAAGAAAGTGAGCATCAACACATAAATAAGCCAAAGGAAAGTCAACAAGTGCAATTGGGTTTTACATATCTAAGTAATGATTGATTGACATGAATTGTTTCTTGGCATTGCAAGACAAAAGATCATGCTGTTTTTTACATAAGGAAACACATTATGCTAATTGTCAGGTTTTTAAGGCTGGATTCTGTACCGTAGGTGTCTGTGAGTTGTTGGAGATGAATTTCAACTATAAACAAGCAGCAACACAGTCCACTTGTTTTAAAATAATGAAATGTATACACAAATGTTTGTTACACTGTTGGTTACCAAACTTGTATCCAGAACTTTGAATAATTCTCTCTTTTTCATCAGAGTCCACACAGGCTGGTTCATTTACTTTAGAACACAATTGATAGTATGAATTATTCTTCTCTACTCTGTTATTACAATACAGTCTGTGATAATTTCACTTTTAAAATTGCCACTATACACTTTATCAGTAAGCTCATGATCATAAAGTCTAGAACATTCTGCACAATATTAGATGTTTTGATGCAATAATACTCAATTAAACCAAGGAGAAACTTGGAAAGTTTTAGCAACATAACACAATAATCTCACTGTTGTAAACAATTGATAATTCGTAACAATTGAACCACACAATGTATGATTTGTGAAAAGTTACATAAACAAAATTACCACAAAATATTGCTTCTAAAAGTAATTAAATATCACATTGTGTTATATGAACTATCTAAGCTGTAATGCCCGCATTAAACTTGAACTGAAAGAGCCATGTATATCTAACACTAATATAATAATAAGTTGGCAAACAAATATTTTTTAAGCATAATGAAGTAATTTATTTGTGGTGGAATGTACAACGGGTTTCAACAGAACCAGGGTAATGTTCTGTCGAAATGTGTAGTATGTTGCACCATGAATAAGTCACTTCCTTAAGCTTATAACTCGTTGTTTGCCTACCTGTTATCATGTTGTTTTGCCATTTGGTTTAAAACATTTTATCTTTACTTTAAACTTCAAAGTAATGCACATGAAGCAACATTTATGTAATAGTTTCTAAACATTTGTAGAATAAAAAATAACTCATTAGTTCTATCACATGCATTGATGTTGAGAAGTTTCATAACATTGTGTAGGATGTATTGTGCAGAACATTAAACACATTTGGAATATATAGTTTGCACCAAATACTAATACATAATGTGGTATACATAATATTTGTGAAAAGATATGTTATTGAAATATCATGCAGCTTTCATTAACAGTATTGGTAGAATTTATAATATTTATATTTTTATTATAAAGATAGTTTTCCATTGTTAGCTTAGTATGTGGATTTAGGACTACACTAATTTTTTTAAGCTGCCCAAACTTCATGAGTTCTGAAATATGGTTAGACTATTAGTAACAGTGCTGGTAGCCAAAGAAAAACAATGCATTATAATCTTTATATGTAAAAATGTTAGAACAGTATAGTTTATTAGGTAGCTTGATTTGCTCAGAAATTATAAAATTTTGAAATATCATACAAAACTGTATAATAATGTAAACAGGCAGAAAATTATGTTCAACAGTTGTAATATCACAACTCTACTGTCGGGATATCCAGAGATGAATAAGAAGCTATACAGTGTACTCCATTTGATATACTGTATATCATTGAATATAGTGTTTGTTATTAGATAGTGTACATCATTCAGTAGTGTTTGTCAGTGAAATCAGTGTCTGACACTTAATACAGTTTATGTTATTTGATACAATGTACATCATTGAATACAGTGTTTGTCGGTGGAATCAGTGTCTGTCACATAATACAGTTTACGTTATTTGGTACAACATACATCATTCAATAGTGTTTGCCAGTGGAATCAGTGTCTGTCACTTAATACAGTTTACGTTATTTGGTACAACATACATCATTCAATAGTGTTTGTCAGTGGAATTAGTGTCTTGAATACATACTCAAGCCAGTCAACATGCTTGAATACATGCTCAAGCCAGTCAGCATACTTCAGTACAGGCTCAAGCCAGTCAACATGCTTGAATACAGGCTCAAACCAGTCAGCATACTTGAATACATGCTCAAGCCAGTCAGCATACTTCAATACAGGCTCAAGCCAGTCAGCATACTTCATCCAATCTCACCCACCGAGATATGTTAATACCAATTACACTCGTTTGGTTTGTCAAAACAACAAGAAAAGGTTGACTGTATATTGTCTTGATTATTATCAGTGGATTACAGAAGGGTGTTAATGGCCATAGAGAAAAGTTCCATGTGTCCTTTTCTGCACATGGGTAACGAAATTTGGACCTCTTTCCTTTAACAAGACCGTAAACACCGTTATATATACATGTATATATATATTATAAAGCGTGTCTACACAACTTGAACATCGGGTTAACTATGAAGCTCTCTCCTACATCCGTGCTTTTAACGCCCTCAATCCTCATTTGTTGTACTTTTGTTTCCAATTCACGAAGTTCATAACTATAGCCCTACTCCTATCTGATAAAGTGCAAAAACTTGGACAATATTACCTGATGAAAATCTGTGCTAGCAACTCGAAACTTCGTCCAAAAATTCCTTGGTAGATGCAGACCGTTAACAATGTCTTTCAAGTATACTCTAGTCAGTCTAAACTTTCTGTCAAACAAGGACTGCAATCGTTACTTATCTCTCCGAGCAACAAAAAAACTGTTGTAAATTTTGTTCAACAACTATTTCCCACCCAATGTTTCTTCACTTGTAGAACTCAAGATACATGTCCTCTAGAGAACAGTATGATTATACTGATGAAATAAATCATTTCTTTATTTAGAATATTTATAAACGGCATTATTTTATTGTTGATTTTGGTTAGTTTGTTACTTTGTTGATGAAATATATTAATATTGATGTGAACATTTAACACGAAACACCTTACGTCGTCTATTTTCGTACCAAATATGTTAAATTTTACCCTATTATATGTGTTTTCTTGTTTCTTTTAAATTCATTTTTATCCACAACAAAATAAACAACCATCGATATTAATGTATTCTCTTTGCACTTCAAGTGTGTAAACTGCATGACAAAAGTATTCATTTTTGTAAAAAGACTGAAATATGATTTGGAGTTAATCTAGAAAAGTAACTTCAATAAGAAATAGATTCGTGAGATCGAGGAAACAATGAAAATGTAGCTTATATGGCAAAAAGGTAGAAGCTAATCTGAGGTGGAACCAATTTAGAGATTGCTAGATTGTGCAATGTTACTAAAGAAATCATTTAAACTAATTAATAAATTCTTTTCGCAAACAAGTAGTGCCATGTTTCTGTAAACAGTTCTTCTCATCAAGTGAAATATTACAGGAGAGCACGCAAGTTGCTACGAGTCCTGCGGTTTTTAGTAGGGAGTAACATCAGTCTCTTGATGATAAATGGTCTTTAAACAAGTAGCAGTTCGTTTGAAAACACTTGTTTTAAGTTGTAAAAAGTGAATTTATTACTTAGTGAAAGTTTTAAACTTATTTGTTTAAAGTGAGACATACACTTTGCTGTTGCAACTGTGTGTGATGAACACTGACGGCCTGAGATTTCAATATTCACTTCTGTAATGTTATTATTCTCAAAATGCTTTCTACACAGAACAGAAACAGATGCTTAAGTTTCTGCATCCCATGTTGACACTTATGTTAAAACACACTTTTATGAAGTATATATTCTGCAAGGGATATTAATAGCACTTTAATCGATAAGCTTGGCTTTGTTGCGCCTTTCTAATACATAACAATTTTCCTTTCGATTCCCAAAAAGAAAGATACAAGGTCAAATATGGGCTTGAAATATATACAGAAATTAACTCGAAATAAACTTAAGGTGCACAAGGTTACCTTTCTGTTACTAGGTGATTTTGTTTTGTTTCAAAATCTTCGCGTAAAGCACACAAAACATTACATCTCTCTGATTTTGAACTGACAGAACAAAAGAAAGTAAGATAATCAACGGCACTCACGGCCATCTCTACTCTGGTTTGATAGACTAGTGATAAAAGAAAACCAGATAATCAACAACACTCACCGTTAACACTACTTGTGTCTGATAGACTAGTGACAGAAGAAAAACAGATAATCAACGGCACTCACCGTTAACACTACTTGTGTCTGATAGACTAGTGATAGAAGAAAACCAGATAATCAACGGCACTCACCGCCACTTCTACTCTTGTCTGATAGATTAGTGATAAAAGAAAGGCAGATAATCAACGGCACTCACTGCCAACTCTACTCTTGTCTGATAGACTAGTGATAGAAGAAAGACAGATAATCAACGTCAAATCTACTCTTCTCTGATAGATTAGTGATAAAAGAAAGGCAGATAATCAACGGCACTCACCGCCAAGTCTACTCTTGTCTGATAGACTAGTGATAAAAAAGGCAGATAATGAACGGCACTCACCGCCAACTTTACTCTTGTCTGATAGACTAGTGATAGAAGAAAGACAGATAATGAACTGCACTCAACGTCAAATCTACTCTTCTCTGATTGATTAGTGATAAAAGAAAGGCAGATAATCAACGGCACTCACCGTTAACTCTACTTGTGTCTGATAGACTAGTGACAGAAGAAAACAGATAATCAGCGGAACTCACCGCCAAGTCTACTCTTGTCTGATAGACCAGTGATAAAAAAGGCAGATAATGAACGGCACTCACCACCAAGTCTACTCTTGTCTGATAGACTAGTGATAAAAAAGGCAGATAATGAGCGGAACTCACCGCCAAGTCTACTCTTGTCTGATAAACTAGTGATAGAAGAAAGGCAGATAATCAACGGCACTCACCGTTAACTCTACTTGTGTCTGATAGACTAGTGACAGAAGAAAACAGATAATCAGCGGAACTCACCGCCAAGTCTACTCTTGTCTGATAAACTAGTGATAGAAGAAAGGCAGATAATGAAAGGCACTCGCCGTTAACTCTACTCT